TTATTGTAGAGATGAGGTCTCACATGCCTAGGCGGGTCTCGAACCCGCGGGCTCAGGCAATCCACTCACCTCAGCCTCCCAAAGGCATGAGATTACAGGCTGAGCCACCGAGCCCAGCAATTTTTTTTTTTTAAGTCGGAATCTCACTCTGTCGCTCAGGCTGTAGTGCAGTGGCACGCTCACGGTCACTGCAGCTTCGACCTGCTGGCTTAGATGATTCTTCTACTTCAGCCTTCCAAGTAGCTGAGACTACACGCACGTGCCACCAGCCTGGCTAATTTTTTTATTGATTGTAGAGTTGAGGTATTGCCAAGTTGGCCAGGCTGGTCTCAATACCGTGGGCTCAGGTAATCCTCTCATCTCGGCCTCCCAAAGTGCTGGGATTATAGGTGTGAGCCATCGCACCCAGCCAATGCACCCTAATTTAAAGCCATGTCTTTACTGAGAAGAATTAGGTTATTTCAAATTTTTCACTTTTATTAATATGGTACAATAAGCATATTTGTTGCTATATCATTGTGCAAGTTTTTATTTTGAGTACATACTTAGAAATGAAAATGTTGGATCCTACACTATATGCCTTTTAGATTCTGATAGATTCAGTCCTCCATGGAGCAGAGTCTTATTGACCTCTGGGCTTCCATTTAATAGAGGACCACACCAACAGAGCCATGCATAAACATGTTTCAACTATGGAGATTATTCTGTTGTAACTTATTATTATACATTATTCCACTGTTATAAATCATCACATTATAACACCACATTATACATTATTAGAATATAATTTAATATGTACAATGACATTACCAGGCTACATTTTAGAAAGACATGACATTTCTCTTCTCCCCAAATGCCCAGTGTGCAAGTAATAAAAAACCATACACAAACAATTATGCTTTTGATACCTGATTTGATAGTGGATTAGGCAGAAAAAACTGCCTAGAAAGTTTATTTAATATGATAAAAGAGCCTTCCCCCAAAAGAGGGAAAGTGAGTTCAAGGTTAACCAGAAGATAAAATAGTCATTTAATTAATTAATGAATTATTTTTTTAAAAATTTTTTATTTTTTGAGTTGAAGTCTCTCTGTCACCCAGGTTGGAGTGCAGTGGCACACTCATGGCCAATGCAGCCTTGACTTGCTGGGCTCAAGCGATCCTCTGCCACAGTCTTCCAGGCAGCTGGAACCACAGGCATGTGCCACCATGCCTGGCTAATTTTTTGATTTATTGTAGAGATGAGGTCTCGCAGTGTTGCTCAAGCTGGTCTCAAACCCCTGAGCTCAGGCAATCCTTCCACCTCAGCTTCCCAAAGTGCTGGGATTACCAGCATGAGATACTGCACCCAGCAAAATAGTCATTTAGTTGGAAAATGTCAATAGTCAAAAACTGATGTTTTTCCAAATTTTATAAATTCTTTGTATTTTAGAAAAGTGACTAGAACAAAGCTGATATTCTATGCTTTTGATTGGTATTCAGTCAAAAATAAAAGTGCATATTTGTCTCAGAAGTTAGTATATTGATTTTCAGTTACCATCATCAGCCTGATAGCAGTTGAGTTAGCCCATTACAAAAGCCAACTTCTGTAAAAACTGCTCAATGGGCCAAGAGCAGTGGCTCATTCCTGTAATCCCAGCACTTTGAGAGGCCAAGGTAGTAGGATTGATTGAGCCCAGGTGTTTGAGATGAGCCTTGGCAATATAGCAAGACCCTATTTCCTCAAAAAAATCACGAAAAATAAAATTAGCTAGGCATGGTAGAGTTTACTCAGGAGGTGAGAAGAAAGCTCAAGACTAGGAGTTCAAAGCTACAGTGATTTAGGATTGTGCTACTGCACTCTAGTCTGGTCAATACAGTAAGAACTTGTCTCTTAAAAAAAAAAAAAGCCAGGCTCAGTGGCACAGCCTGTAATCCTGCGCCTTGGAAGGGCAAGGTGAGTGAATTGCCTGAGCCCATAGGTTTGAGACCCACCTGGGCAACTTGGCGAGACCTCATCTCTATAATAAATCAAAAAAATTAGCTGGGCGTGGTAGTGCACGCCTGTAGTTCCAGCTACTTGGAAGGCTGAGGCGGAAGGATCGCTGAGGCCCAGCAGGTCAAGGCTGTGGTGGCCGGAAGCGTGCTACTGCACTCCAGTCTGGGAGACAGAGTTGAGACTCCAAAAAAAAAAAAAAAAAAAAAAAAAAAAGCTTAATGGTACCCAAGGATACCAAACTTGACCTTTTGACATTACCTGTGCCTCCAGCAACATCTAGCAGCTTGGTGCCTGGAATGGGGCGCATCTTTGAGAGCAGCAAATCCTTCCAAACACGATGGATACCAAGACTCATCACATCATTCATCACATCATACTTCTTGGCCACACTTTCAAACACCTGGTAGACTGATGTGGAAGAAACACCCACAATTGTGCTATTAACAGGATAAACTTGGAAAAATCTTAAATGAAAAAAGAAAACGCTTTTTCCCCTTGAAATCGCCTGTCTTTGCAGGGTAAAGCTAACCAATAATGCTTGATGACCAATCTACACTTTAACATTACTTCTTTTTTATTTTTTGAGTTGGAGTCTCACTCTGTCACTCAGACTGGAGTGCAATGGCTGCTCCCGGCCACCGCAGCCTCGACCTGCTGGGCTCTGGTGATCCTTCCGCCTCAGCCTTCCAAGTAGCTGGAACTATAGGCGCTTGCTACCATGCACAGCTAATTTTTGATTTATTGTAGAAACGAGGTCTCGCCAAGTTGCCCAGGCAGGTCTCGAACCCACAGGCTCAGGCAATCCACTCACCTTGGCCTCCCAAAGCACTGGGATTACAGGCTGAGCCACCGAACCCGGCCAACACTACTTCTTTAAAACGAGATTTGCCGGAGTGGTGGCTCACGCCTGTAATCCCAACACTTTGAGAGGGTGAGGTGGGAGGATCGTTAAATCCAGGAGTTTGAGACCAGCCTGGGAAAGACCTCATTTCTATTTATTTATTTATTTATTTTTGAGTTGGAGTCTCACTCTGTCACCCAGGCTGGAGGGCAGGCAGCCTCCACCTGCTGGGCTCCGGCGATCCTTCCGCCTCAGCCTTCCAAGTAGCTAGAACTACAGGCAT